CACTAACTCTAAAATATCTTTTTTTTCAAATGGAGAATGCCTCCAAAAGCTGCAGCTGTGTGTTGGTTTCATCTTGCTCTGGTTAGCAGTGTTGGCCTTTTAATGCAAGGAATGCCACCGTCTCTCACACACCTCTTTATCCAGGGACTTTCAGGGCCTGCCTGTGTGAATGACTTGGGGGAAGATGTATGTTTAGAGAGAGGGTTCTCCTGTTCCTTCCTTGTGGTTGGCTGACTGGTGGGAATTGAACTCTGGTGGAAAATGATCTGATGTCTCATCTGAAAATCTTCCAGCAACCTGGACATCCTTTTTCTTGTCGGTATGGAAGACAGATTGCTCCCTTCTCTTGAAACTGCATGATTTGTGGCACAGCTTATATATGACCCTTCCACTATTGTTTCTTTTTAAGCAATATTGAGTCCTCCTAGTGAACAACAATCCTACTATGTGACTAACTGTTGTTGGATCATGGAAGAGGAAATCTACAAATTCACCCAGATGCTAAAGAGTAAACTTGGCTCTCTTAAGCATCCACTACAGCAGAACTGAAAAAAAGGCAGTCCTGACTCAAGTGTAGAAGTGTGTTCCGAAGATGCAATTGAGTGCCAACTTTCATATGAGCCTTGTAAGGACCATGCTCTGTGAGCTTGTGCTGTGCTTGGTAGCCACCACATAGAGCCGGTGTATTTTGTATTTCTTTTTCTTTCACTGTCATTATATTTAAAGAATTGTGTACCGTCCTGTCTTATAGATTTTTTCAAAAATATCCTGCCAAGTCTGTTCATTCCTAGCCATTGTCATTTCTTGTTGCACTTCTTAAAGAGGGATCTAATAGAAAAGTAAGTCTTGACCTGGTATATTTCGTAAAATGAAGGGAGTTCTTGATATAGTGGTTGTTGAAACAATTATTTTGCTTTAGAATGCTTTTTTAGGCTTTTAGTGGTAATTGATCCTGTTGCTCCAAGTAGAAGTTATAAACTTTAAAGGTTTCTTGGGTAGGGCTTCCACATTCCCTATGTTTACATATCTTCAAGGGGAAATAGATTGAATCACAAAGAAATGTACTAGGAAGTAGGAAATCCTTGAATTGTTATTTTTTAAAACATTGAATCTTGTATAGTTTACCTCTTAAAACTCCCATTGCAAAACTTTGATCAGTTGTGATGATTCATACATTTGGATCAGAAAGCAGTTTTCCAACATTAAACAGTGAGAAATTCGCTAGGTATATTTCAAAAGGAATTATCTGTTCTTCCTACAGTAATTGTTTAGTGTTTTTCTTCTTAAACTATTTTTTCTTTCTTTTTCTGCCTCCCTCTACCTCTCTTCTCTCCTTTTCTTTTATTAAATCCAGGGCCACAGACAAGCCAAACTATGTTCCCAGACCCCTTAATTATTATTATGTGTCAAAGACTTAGTGAAAGTTTTAGTGTCCTTGCAGATACCTAATACTGTCACAGTGCTTTTAAAAAACTTAATGTAACATACTTGTATGAGTGAAACAAATGATATTTTGTAGCTCTAAAAACTGAAGTCAAACCAACATTTTTTTATTAAAGAAGTATTAAGAATTACGGAAATCTTCAAACTGAAGACAGAGAAGCAAAAAGGAACCTTTTTTTCCCCCTTAACATGGAATGTTTGCCAATTCAGTAATAAAATAACCATTGGTTGCATGTTTCAATCACAATTAGATGAAAGCTTTAATTATCACTTAATTTAACTTTCATATTTGCCTGCAGGATGAGTGTGTTGCTAAGATTCTGGAAGCAGATAAAACTTTGTTAACTAATTTCATTTTCAGTTGCCAACTTTAAAGGTCTTGATTTTGAGACTTAAAATGCCCGTGTCATTTTTGAGGGGGAGAGGAGGAGAATCTGGACTTTGTGAGTGGCAAGTGAGTTTAGCCCTGCTGTTTCATCCTAACATTTTTTAACCTTTCACATACACACACACACACACACACACACAAGGCCTGCAAGTTTGAGGGGACTAGTGAGACATTGCAGTGAATCTTGATTGATCACATTTTTCTATGTCCTTTCTCACTCTCTGCTAAGTAAGCTAGCCACCCAGGCAACTCTACATCCATTAGTCTGTCTTTACGTTTTCCTTTTATTATTCGTGCTGTTTGTGTGATCATTCATTTTATTCAGAGTAGAAAGCATTCATGTAGGAGGATATTTTTGTGACCTGATACTCTTCTAAGGCAGAGGGAAATCGTTTCTACTTTTTATTAGAGAAAATGGAATGCCATGCTCTTTCATTTTATAGTACTTAAACATTTTTTTTACAATGTTTTCTTTAAAAAAACTATATTAAAGTTTCAAGACAGTTAAGTGGTTTAAGTGGTTTTCAGATCATACACTCCCATTTTAGCTTTCGGAGATTTGGAGGATGTCATTGCCAGAACTTTTAAGGGGTCCCCACACTCCCACATGGTTTTATTATCATAATAGTATATCCTTAAATATATTGACCTCATACCCCCAAACAGGTTATTAGCTCCATTCCAGGTTATTCTTATTCTAGGAGCTTGGGGTGGTGCCCAAGAACTTCATTCTAGCAAGTTCTGTAGGTGTCAGGCTCAGGAAAGTGGGGAGGTGAATGGCCCCCTTGGTTTGATGAATTTCACAGTCTGCAGAAATCAGTGGCTTCACAGCACCCAAAAGGAGAGAGAGACAAGAGGGAATGCCCTGCCACAGAGGCAGGGTGGGATGGAGGGATGGGGGGTGGGAGGGATACTGGGATCAGAGAATGGGCCCTGGTGGAGGAATGAGTATTCGATTATTGTATAACTGAAACCCAAGCACAAAAATTTGCAAGTCTACAACTGTACCGCATGGTGTTTCACTAATAAAAAGAAAAAAAGAAATCAGTGGCTTATCTTTAGGAAATCCAAAAGTTTCCTGAGTGCCAAGAGCTGCTGAGATGAAGTGACGAGCTTTGCATCCCCCAGGTGCAGAGATTGATAACCCCAAGTCAAAAATGCTCTGTCCTCAGGGATAGGTAAAGATACTAGTGGGCTCTTTGTAGCAGAGAGCCAGCTTGGTCATCCATCTGCCTTTGAATTGTTCAGCCTATAGAACTTGGCCCACCAAATACTGTGTCACTAACCTTTATGGCTATTCCAACTTTAATCAATAAAAATGGAAAACTCAGTTTCTCAGTCTTAATAGCTACGTTTCAAATGCACTGAAACCGTACTTGACTAGGTGATTAGTGAGCACAGCTATTAGAACTGTCCGTAGTCACGAAAAATTCTGTTAGACACTATTGCTGCTGGGGTTTCTTCTGTGACTTAGTTCTTTGAGCCTGCATGGCTACGATGGCTAATAGAGATAGGAGCATAATCACATCTATTTCTGGGCATATACCAATTTTAGATGACAGAATTTAGGGCTTGCAAAATAACATAAATCAGGCTTCATTCTAAAAAATGTATTTTTACTTTTGTATCATGAATATGTTTAATTGGAAATTTCCTTGATACATAGCTTTGCAAAGAATCATGCTACTAAAATCTCACTTAACTAGATTGTTAATATTTAGCCTTAGATTATAAACTCTTCTATATAAGCAATGGCCCTTCAGAGTCTGGAAAGCTATTTATTGATAGTTAATGTAGCAGACCAGACATAGCTATGTTTCTGTAGGGACTCACATACTTGCAGTTTGAGACATTTGTGGCGAATCTTCTTAGCTCCCCCTTCTGGTATTATGAGAAAAATATTTTCCCAAAATGGTTTCATGTATTTTAGAAGGAAAATAGCAAGATATTTTGAATATTTTGAAGGCTATTATTTGTGGCATCAGTTTGATTTCTGAAATATTTAAATCGGTAAAACGTTAACGGAACATGGAGAAAGTTTGTGGAAGTTTCATGTTTATTTGGGGTGGAGGGTGGGGCTAGGGCCACACTTTGCAGAAGTAGGGATTTGCTTCCAGCTGCACGCAAGGCAAAAGCCTTAGCCTTGTGCTTTGTTTCCAAGCATCATCTTTCTTAACCTCTTAGCTGACCACGCTGCATAGATAAGCAAGTAAAGGTTTTGGAATTGGTACGCAGAACCTTCATATGTTTGAATTAAGTGACTGTGTGTGTGGGATTCTGTGTCCGTTAGGTCTACTGACATTGTGTGGCTTGGGGCGTAAGTGTAGAAGGGAGCCCAAGCACCCTGTCTCCATTTTTTATAAAAATGTTTTTTTTTTTGGGGGGTGGGGGGGACGCCATGTGTGGTGCCAGGGATCTGACCTGGATTGGCCACTGGCATGGCAAGTCCCTTTACACACCAGGCTTTCTTCCTAGCCCCATGTTGTGCCCATTTTAAGTCATAATAACAAGCTGTTCAATGCAGTCCATCCTAGCCTCCTTCCTGGAGAGTTAGCCCGTCAGAGTGCTGGGAGGCCAGGTTTGGATATAGTCGTGGGGAGGGAGTCTCCTCAGAGTTCTGTCCTTAAGTTTGGTGATATGGAAGAGCTGACCCATCCCTGGCCATGCCTTTTACAGCCAGTGCCGTGTGCATCTCCGGCATATTCAAGCCCGCAACCAAGCCCCGGCTCCTTCCTCAGACCCAGGATTTCAAAGTCCTCCTCTCTGCCCCCAGCAGAAGCCAAGAGCAAGAGGCCTTTGGGAGCAGAAATTCTGGAGTTATGGTCTAGTGTTTGGAGAGTGTCCTAGGGGAGAAGTTGGTATGTTCCCTCTGCCTCCTCCAAACCCATCCATCTCTGCGAGAAGAGGCACAGCTTCGTAGCCCAGAACCAACTTCATCATCTGTCTTACTCAGGCTGTAGAGGAGGGTTAGAGGAGCTTCTAAAAGTTCAGTGCCCAAAGCAAGGGGACTCTCACTCAGGCCTAAATTTGTGACCATCGTCTCTAAGTAGCTTGTAATATGTTCTCATTTCTTTGTAGCATGTACTTTGTACTGAAATGATCTTCATGTTTCTCTAATGCACTGGATCACCCTCAAGTTTGTGAGATGTTTTTTTTTTCTCCCTCACAGCTTTGTCGATTCCAGATCTGGCTGAGCAGTTCGCCCCTCCAGACATCGCGCCCCCCCTTCTCATCAAGCTAGTGGAAGCCATTGAAAAGAAAGGTAATGTGACTGGTGGAGGCACTTGGTTCAGCTGTTATACACTTATGGCATAGGGGGCTGTAATTCTGTCTGTGTCTGGGGAAGGCTTGTGCTACCCGGGCTCGGCTCAAAGGCCACTTGGAGCCTTGTCCTGGGGAGACCGTCTTGCTCTGTGACATGGAGAATCAGCATGAAGATCCTGTATAGGTATGATTCAATCCACTCTCATTTTAATACTATCAGTTTGCTTAGTGGGCAGATAATTTTGCCAAAATTATTTGACATGCCTGCTAAGATTAATAGTAGGAGTTGATGTCCAAGAATATTTGGTACACATGGAAGTAGATACAGGGAGGAAGCTGAAATGTCTTTCTGGCAGCACAGTCATGGGTTCTCTGGAGAGCTGTGTGTTTGCATATTGAGTCTGTTCTGTGTCCTAGGTCTGGAATCTTCGACTCTCTACAGAACCCAGAGCACCAGCAACCCAGCAGAGCTACGACAGCTTCTTGACTGTGGTGAGTGTCATGGAGCTTGAGTTGCACATTGAAAGATGGTCATTACCTACCTGAGTCAGGTAAAGCACCCAAAAACATACCTCTGCAAGGTTCTGAGTTGGAAGGGAACTAGAAATTATGCAGTGTTCCCTCTGCCCTATCATGGTGGTAAAACAGTGTAAACCTGTGCAAACCTTTGAGGTTGCTCTCCTGACCAGGATATGCCTGCAGTGCTTGTCTGCAAACCCATTGGCTGTGCTCACCACGAGGGCCCTAGGGATCCTGCATGAATTACAGAGGACAGAAAGAACCTCCTGGAATCTTTCTGGCTCTGCCTGTTGACCACCTTCCCATGACCCCGCAGCTGACCACACCGAGTACATCTGGATCAGTTTAAAAACCATTTATAAGCCTATGTCATGTCATAGTCTGTCTCTTCTGATCCTTTCCCTTCCTTCCCCTTCTCTGCTTTCCTTCTTCCATATATCCACACACTTAAAGTGCCGTCATTATGTAGTTACGTCGTGTGCTGGAAAGATAGTTTTCCAGTGGGGAAGGAAAAGAATGCACTCTGACTTGTAGCTTCTGCCCATTTCTCTTGTGTGAATCTGCCCAATATGGTCTTTTTCAAGCTACCAGCATGTTATCAGTGAGAAGAATTTAGCAAAATTGGCCCATGTAAACACCAGTATAGACCAGCTCCAGCACATCATTGTTTAAATGACATCAATTAACTCAGTTAAAGGGGTGTCTTATTTGTCCTCTTCCTACTTTGCCAGACCAGCCCCCCCCTCCAAAAAAAAAATCCTCAAACAAAAAAACACCAAGCGATCCAAATATGAATAAATGTCCTCATCATCCTTGGAGTTGCTCATCTTCTCTGTCAGCTTATAGAATCTCTTAAGACCCTTCAGTCCCTCCCAGTTTTTTTTTTTTTTTTTAAGAAAAATGAGTTTTGCCTTTCACATTATTTTCACTGAATCAGAATGTTTAAAAACCACCAAGAGTGAAACTTGGAAGAAGAGAGAATTTTGGAGCAGTTCTTATGCAAAGCATGCCCATTTGAAACTCAGTAAATAAAAAATTTGAAGTGTGAGGCAACTTCTAAATGAGACAGCTTATGAACATTTCTAGAGAAGACATTTCTGGGGGTAAAAATGATTAGATTGTTGTCAGTGAATAGTTTCACTTAAAACACACCACTCAAGTGTTTGAAGCTTAAAATGAAATGCATTTGACTTTCATTTTTCATCTGTGCATGGAAATTCATCTTACATACAGATAGGGCATGTCTTTGGTCCTACCCACAGGCAGGTCATTAGAAACAGGCTGAAATTTTAAGTCTGTTTTCTTTCTTTCTAACAGCTTTACCCAGGTGGTACGGAACCACTGACTTTGTGGTAGCCACTTGAATTAAAGGTACATGTTTTGGTCAGCATATAGGTCAAATTGAACACGTGGAACGTCACAGGAAATGTTTAGACATCAGAACGGATAAAATAGCTGTGGTGAAGTTTTTAAATTGTGACCAAGTACAAAATGATGCAGTTCAGCTTAACAAAACAAAAAAACTCTTCACACCACCTGTGAGATGGAATAAATAACTCAAATTCAAGTCAGTCGTATTTGACAGACAGCCTCCTTCTCCTTTTGAGATCAAAACAAACAGGTTTCATTTGCATCTTGTGTTCTTTGGATGGGGCCAGCATTACCTATATCTAGAGGAATAGGATCTCCAGCACTTTTTCAACTTAAATATTTTTCAGACTATAAAATATATAATATGCTGGAGGAAGCATAGAGATAAGACACTTGCACTTTAAAAAAAAAAAAGAAGACACTTGTACTTTAAAAAAAGAAGAGATTATGGCTTTTAACTAATCCTGTGAATTATCTGTGTTTAAAAAGAACATAGATTTACGTCTACTTTTATTGACAACTACTAAATTATATTTTATTCACTCATTGGCCTCATGAAATAAATAATCTATAGCTACTGAATAGCAGAGCTGCCACTTGTATGCAAATTGTTCTGAATGAACCCAAGGTTCTTACTTCCCACCTTCAAAAGGAATGCCTTTTCCCTATAACTTTCCTATAGTTTCTTTTGGTCTCACTATATATTTCCATGACATTGCCTGAAATGGCCATGTATCCTTAAACAAATGGATTTGGACTTCATGGGGCCACTTGCACAGAGATTTATTTCTCCCCCCATGTTCTACATTCACCTACATTGGGTTCAGAACCTACAGATCTGGCAGTTGGACTGTAAGCCACAGTCGAATTTTCAGGTGCTAGGGGTGGGGTGAGTTGTGGTGAGGATCATTTTCTCTCATTTTTCTAATGAGTTGTTCACAGGTCCAAGTCTTTTTTGAGTTGTTTGACTTGCCTTTTCTTTTTGTATGTGTTGATTTTCCTTTAAGTTGAATTTTCTTCCTCACCCCAGCTAACATGTTAGTCTAGATCAGTCCTTGCTGGATACAAGGAGGGCTGCCCTGTGCCTTGTCAGGCGTTCAGTGACATCCTTGGCCTCTGCCCACTGACTGCCAAGAGCATTTTCTCCAGTTGTGGCAGTCAGGTGCACCCCGCTTCAGGTGCAGACAGGCGTCTCCTGAGGACTGGGAGTGAGGCAGCATACTTCAGAATACCACTGATAATTGTGAATCTTGGTCAGTGGCAAGGGGACTGCATTCTAGTGGGAGGAGGAAGATGGCCAAGGTGGCAGAGAGTTCCTTGTCACCTGTCATAAGCAGAAAAGACTCAGTTAAAAGTTGGGGTGTGGGGGGCAGAAGGCAGGTAGGATGCCAGTTCCTTCAACCCAGATCTAGGTAACTCTTACCAAGACTAGGTAAGACTAGGTAACTCTTACCAAGCTGATTGCTAAAGCTATGCAGTTTATCTTTTTTTTTTTTTTTAAAAGAATAACCTTTTAAATAAAGAAGCCATAGAGGTGTATATGTATACCTCTTGGAAGAGTATATTTGGGTCATCTGAATGCAAACCTCACAAAAGTCAGAAACTTCAGGGAACATTGAAATTTACATTGGAAGTTGAAAAATAAATAGCAGGTACTGAGTTATGATCAGCCCGAGAGAGCTTGGACACCGGCTGAGCCAATGCACAGCCTTGCGTGAGGTTATATCATTCAAAGGCTTTCCAAGATCTTTGGGATATGCCTCAGGTATTTGAGAAGGGCTTTGGTACATTCGCCATTGCTCTGAGCATTGTTTCTAGTTTGTTCCACAAAGGTTTAACAATGTGTGAGGCTCTGCAGGATACAGGAAGAGTGGGCGAGAACTGTAGTACGAGACTCTCATGTCTCATAGAGTGTGTGTGTGTGTGTGTGTGTGTGTGTGTGTGTGTGTGTTGGGGGTAGGGTATTTTGCTGCTCACTCATGCACAGAATGCGCCAGGTGGGACGTGTGGAATGTTCAGTGTCTTCATTTCAATGCATCGCCAGGAGCTCGTCACAATATTTAGGGTACTTCGTGGGGATATGGATTTGCTGGGAAGAAAGATGACACACAACCTTTCTGGCATGTTGTGGACCAGCAGCTTGGCAGGTGGTCAGTGGCCCATTGCAGTGTGCCTATAGCGACACACACAAATTTGGGTTGACATTTGCACAAGTCATTGTGTTACTGTTTGATACGCATCCTGTACGCAAAGATGGAGCAAAGTTCTAGATTACACACACTCATTAAAGAGGTAGCAGGGCTCACATTGATTCTCCGTAAAATGTCTAAGCCATTAAAGTTTTGCTTCGTTGCTTTTTGTTTGATTTTTGGCTGTCCCAGCAGTGCTCAGGGGCAACTCCCTCAGGGCCTTCTCCCGGAGTGCTCGTGGGGGAAGACTCCCATAGGTGCACTGGCAACCATGTCCTGAAGATTCAGCCAGGGTCTCCCACATCATGTGCTCCAGCTGCTGCTGGACTTAGGCCTCCAGTGTCACAGCTCCCCTGCATATAGGGGCCAAGTTACACTGGATGAGCAGCCCCCCTCTTGGTCTCACTTTCACTTTACTGCCTCTCCACAAATACCAGATAGCATCAACTCCCAAGCTCCCGGCATTAGGGCTTCAGCATAGAGAGTGTGGGTGAGGGTAAGAGTTGGGGACTTCATGGGGGTACTGGATTTTTGTTACCCCAAAGACGGGACACATACTTCTGGCCTTCTAGGCAGTGGTCTTGATGCTGAGGAATTATGCTGTGGGTGACAGAGCCTCAAAAAAAAAAAAAAAGAAATGTTCCACCGTAAATATCAGAGCCACCACTTGTGAGATAGACACACCGCCTAGAACTCCTCTAAGTGTCATGTTTTTCCTCATGTTTCTGCCTTGCTTGGGTCACATCTACGCCATACTTTCATATAGAAAATGTCAAGCAGGTTTGACCCTTTTTTTCCCCTATGCTTCTCTCCTAGATGCCGGCTCCGTGGACCTGGACATGATCGATGTGCAAGTCTTAGCAGATGCTTTCAAGCGCTATCTCCTGGACTTGCCCAACCCTGTCATTCCGGGAGCCGTTTACAATGAACTGGTTTCTTTAGCCCAAGGTTCGTTTTCTCTTCTAAAGCTCACTGAATCAGCATGCTAAGATGTGGCTGTGCGTGTAAACACTGTAGCAAAACTTCATAAAGAGATTTTTTTAAAGAATATTATTAGTAAGCATCCATTCCCTGATTATCCACACCACCACCTCCCGCCCCCATTCCCAGCTCAAATTCCCTCCCTGAGCAGGGCGCCCAGTAGAAGCTGCAGATTCTCATTGGCTTGGGAGATAGACACACCGCCTAGAACTCCTCTAAGTGTCATGTTTTTCCTCATGTCCACTTGTTGAAATAGCTCAATGTTTAGCTTTTATCAGTGTGAACCAAACTGATGACATCAGTAAAGGTCATTGTGTCCCAGGTACTGTCATCAGGTTTAGGGGACCCAAGTAGGACCCATTCCTGGGGATATTCCTGTTTGTTTGGGGCCACTCCCCGGAGGTGCTCAGGGCTGACTCCTGGCACTGTACTCTGGGAGCACTCCTGGAAGGCTCGAGGACCATATGGGATGCTGGGACAGAGTGGGGGTGATACTAAACCCAGATCACCTGCATGCAAGGCAAGCACCCTACCCACCCTACTATGTCAGACCCCTCCAGGGGACAATCTTGTCTCCAGCTTGTTCTTAGGGATGTCCTTATCATCTTCCTGGAGTGGCCATTATAAAGCCTGCTTAGGGAAGAGGGCTCTCAGCATAAAGAGCAAATGCTCAGTTAAAGTGCTTTGGGGACAGGAAATTGTGGTTCCTACCCTTCAAAGTTTGAACCTGTGATATTTATCTGATGCTCCTGTGAATTAGCCAATCACGCTTGACTCACGCTGCTCAATAGAGGGCAGATTTCTGCCAGCACACGCTGAACTTGCTGTGGTTTTCTTTTTTTCTCTTACACCGAGGGTATCTTGCATTTCCATTTGACTGGAGAAGTTCTGCTTTTCTCATAGTGCCTTTTTAAGTGAGAAGAACTAATGCACGATCTGCTGCTCTGATGCTTTTGTCTTAAATGACTTTTTTTTTTTCTGGAGCTAAAATACAATTTCTAGGGTTGATTCACTGATACCTAAGAAACAGTCATTCATCTTTTTATTTTCCATTTTTAAACTCACAGAAGTACAAAGCTCCGAAGAGTACATCCAGCTGTTGAAGAAGCTCATACGGTCACCGAACATACCTCATCAGTATTGGCTTACACTTCAGTATTTGCTAAAACATTTCTTCAAGCTCTCCCAGGCCTATAGCAAAAATCTTCTGAATGCACGAGTACTTGCCGAACTTTTCAGCCCTCTGCTGTTCAGATTCCCAGCAGCCAGGTAAGTAAAAGGACTGAGACATGTGTTTTGGATGATGACAATTTTTGGTCCTAAATTGATGGATCTTGAGACCTTGTAGATGGAGTTGGCAGGTGTGTGTGTATATTTTCACCAAAAATATCTATTTGAATATAAGTGAAAATGCACTTATTGTTTAGCTAACAGTTGCTAATAAAACTTTTGTCCCCCCCCCCCCCCCTCGTAGCCCTGAGAATACTGAATCCCTCATAAAAGTTATAGAAATTTTAATCTCAACTGAATGGAATGAACGACAGCCTGCACCAGGTAAGACCTTTCAGTTGTTTAAAACTCTCTTACTGGTCAGTTTTTGGAGTTTTGAGAGATGGAGGCTAAAGTTAGCAGTTTTCTTGTTAGCAGTTTTTCTTGAGATCTGTTGTCACCAGTTGTCTTGTGCATTAAAGGGAAGAGAAAAAGAGCTGAGTGGCCGGGCCTGTGGTGAGTCGTGTTCTGATTCCAGCCTTTGTGGGTGTGGAATGGTTGTGGTCGTGTGACGAGACCTACTGGGAGTCAGGGGAGTTCTTTGTCTTTCTCAGCTTGGTGCTTTGGGGCACTGAGTCAATTCTGGAGCTCATTCTTGATGGTGACATTTTTGTTTTTCTTTCTAATACTTGTAAAGTAGGGATTTATAATTACTATATAATTTAAAATATTTTGGAATGTGGATTTTGGAAGCAGGTATGCTGAGAAACGTCTGTCCAAATAAACATTTCCAATAATGCAAACATTTCCAATAATGCAAGCCAGTATGAAACCAGGGTGTTTACAGCAAGCAAGTCCGAGCAAGCCAGACACTTCTTTGAAAGCAGGCTGGCGTTCAGCTCGCCGTGTAACAAAGCAGGAAATGGAGACCTTGTTAGCGGTGGATTTCTTTCAAATGGGTTTTTTTATTTTTTAATTTTTTTCTGCTGGGGAAAGTCTAAACAACAGCCTTACTTTGCTCTTTCCTGGTTAGAAATTTTAGCTCCTGGAGACTGACTAGTTATTAGGGGCCTATAAATGAAGCAAAGTTTCAGGATGGATAGAAGGTCTTGCTTGTAGTTCTCGTTGATGCCTAGACTTTGAAGATACTGTCAATGTATTACTTGGTCTAGATTGCTTGTGCAGATAAACACATTTACCTCTGTATGAGAAGGCATACAATATGGACCCAATTTATCTGTGACAGGCAGTGGAGAATTAATTGTGCTTTGGGGGTGTGGTTACATAGATCTGATTGTTTGCATTTGGAATGGGCAGACAGAAGTAAGGGCTTGGTCAAGCCCAGCTATCCTTGTGGGAACAAGCAGGTTCTGAAGTACTCTGGCTGCATGTATCAGGAAGGGTTTCTATGAATGGTGAGAGAAACAGCCTACACAGTTCAGAAAGCGGGCGTGGGACATCTAAGAAGTGTTAGTTCACGTTAGAACTAACTGGAACGTTAGTTCACGGAATGGCAGAAAGGTTTCCGCGTCTGTCATTTGTAAGGGGAGTTGAGAGCTCTGTCTGGAAGCTGAGAAGGCCACCTTTTGACTCGGTAGGAAAGTAGGAAGGAAGGCAGCAGGGAGAGGTAAGGATGCCAGGAGATGAGCTGACAGAAGCACTTGTGGAACATTGGGCATTGATTGACAGCCAGCCCCAACCAATCCCATGAGTGGGGGGGAAGTGAGACCAAAGAAGGACTTCCACAGTCACTGCCTCTTGCTCAGACCTTTTGTGCCCTCCTCTCTGGGCTGCTCTGCTCAGCACTTACTCCTCCAGAGAGGGAGGTGTAGAAACTGAAACTCAGACAGGGTTTGTCTGACACCTGCAAATTGATCACATGGAGGTCTTGAAAGAATTTCTACACCACCAGGTATAGAGTAATCAGTGGCCAAGTCTGGCTTCACTTGGCTCCATGTCCGCTCAGTTTTAGAACTCATGTACAATGGCGCTACTAATATACAGAAAAAGTTGCTCGATTGGTCTAAGACCCCACCAACCTACATTTTTCTGCTACGCAATGGGCCACACTGATTTTCAAGGAGGTTGGTCTGAACAGCTGTCAATGAATTAGTACGTACAGCCCCAACTGTCAGCTGGGCCATCCCGGAGTGTAGGCAGCCTTTTCGGAAGGAGAAAATGCAAGTCAGGTAAAACCTTAGTTTGAACCATTCCTCCCTTTGTGGGGTCTCCCTTAGTACTGCTGGAAATCAGAATATCACTAGGGGTTGAAGTATGTCTTTGTGGTGAAAGTCTGCCCCCCTTCTCCTTCCCCTCCCCCCAAAAAGTGTCCTTCACCTTTGCGTTTGGGCTCCAGCAGGGACCCTGGCAAGGCATCCTGGTTAGGGGAAGGATTCCTCGGGGCTAGTTGGAACACACCATTCATTGATTCCTTCATCTGCTCCCCAGAGGGCTTTTGAGACAGAACACGGGTGCATTTACTGTGCATTGGTCATAAATCATTCATTTGCAATGACGATGCATTTGGGAGTAGAAATGAGTACGTGCTTGAGCGTCAGGGTGGCCTGAACCTGTCATGGTACCGCTGGAGGTCTTGTCTACTTTTGGCCAGGTAGACTTTGACGGGCAGAGGTTTGAGGCACTGTGTCAATTCAAAAATGACCCCTCAGTAAAGAGGCTCTAATTCAGTAACAGGCAAGAATGTGTGTACCACAAGTATAAACGAATTTTAGAAGATGTGATTGGTGTCGGTGGTTGAAGTAGACATCTATAGGGCAGCTAAGGTAAAAAACAGGCCCATTCAGCATAGGATGCCTTTCAATGAAACCGTTATAAGGGTATTCACAGATTTCAGATTTCTGGATATATTCAGAAATATTAATATAATTGAAGTCTAATATTGCACCCTCAAGCAGAGTGGAAAATAAATGGCTCTTTCTCCCCTGCCCTTCTACACCTGTCAGAGTTAATTTTTAACCACTGGCACATTGCAAAACATTTAACCTGAGGAACCTGATTCATAAATCTTGTTCTAAATGCTTGGGCTTGGTTTCCAACCAAGACTAAAGCATGCACTAAGGTAGAGGGAAGTGACTTTCAAAGATTTTTGCTTTTCTTGGATTTATTTTTTATTGGGTGTATACTGTGGCCTGACATTAGAGGGTTGTTTCAAAGATGAGAAGTGAAACCTTGAAAAAAAAGTAATAAGCACATTTAGATGAATTAGAAGAGACAAAACCAGAGGCCAAATTTGGGTGCATCAGAAATAATGACTTTTCTTCATCTTCTGAAAGAAGAGATGTGTGTCATGGTGGGGGATCTGATGGGGATACAGCCCAGTTTTATGTTTGTTTTTACTAGGCAGCCTTCTATTTGGCTCAGGGGCCAGGAGGGAAGGCACGAGGTGGGGTTGTGCGAGTTCTAGATTCCACTAGGCCAGAGGCGCAGATACAGTTTGTCGAGTGTGTAGGTTTTGTGCATGCATCAGCCTGGGCTGCTGAGTTCACATGGGCTTTTCCTTGTGCTCGTCATTTTAAGTACAAGATGCAGAGTCAAGAATTGGCATCACCCTGCAAGGTTCTTTTGGGCTAAGTTGTCTTAAAAGTACAAAGGGGTTAAAATCATTTAACCTTTCTGTAGAGGCCTCGGTTTGTATTCTTTGCCATCTTAAACTGGTGGAGGGATGGGTATTTGATCATTGTATAATTGAAACCCAAGCACAAAATTTGTAAGTCTACAACTGTACCTCATGGTGTCTCACTAAGAAAAATTGAAAAAGTAAAATAAAAATTAAAAAATTTTAAAAAAGTAAAAAAACCTCTTCTCATTAAGAAAAAATCTTTTGTTTATAAATAGTGTTCCATAAAAAGTATGCAGGATATTGTATTGGGGACCAGAGAGCTAGTACAGGAATTAAGACATATGACCATATGCTTATGGTCAACTATGGTTTGATCCTGGGCAGTTTCTGGTTCACTCCTTATGGCCTGGTATGGCCCAAACTTCTCTACACTCTCCATGCCCACAAAAATAAAAAGAGAAAAATAATATTGTGCGGAGAAGAGCTGGTTGTGGAGTTCTCGCCATTTGATGGATATCTGCATGTTATTACAGTATCTTGTCTCTAAGTTCCATTTATATGTATTGTAGTGGTTGCATTTTTTTCTGATTGGATTACTCCTGCTGGAAAGTGTTGTGTTTTTGCTTCCTAATTAATTTTAAGAAAATTTTGGTGAAAGGGAATTTGTAAGACACTTTTTTTGGAATAATACAATAAGAAACGATTTTAATTATGTGTGTGAGTTTTCTCTTGTGGCTGTAGTTTGGGGCATTCAGATAATACAAGTTAGTAATAGCCACATGAAAAGACACCTCCTAAATTGTTTAGGATACTGTGCATTTGGTTATTAGTAATTAGGGAATTACATGGGTTAAGTGATGGTTGGACAATTTTGCTTATTAATGTGTGAAATAGCCGAAGTTGTGTGAGATGAATGAAACGAGGAAGGGAGCATTCTCAAGCAGAAGTCACTGCAGCACTTCTGCCAGCAGAGGGCGCCCTTTTTAAACAAATAAAGCGCATGTGGCTTGAAGTTCACTTTTCAAAGGTTAACGCTCAATAGCAAAAGACTCAGGTCTTACTTGTGGTAGTATAATGGAATATTTATGATAGATGATTGTGCACATTGTGAGGGATTTGGTTTGGGCAAGTTCTTACATCTATTTTTAAGACTTTCTTCCTGTAATGATGGGTGTATTGCTTCCCAATGGGGAGAATTTTTTTTTTAACTTTCTGAAACAGAAAATGGACTGTTGGACTAGAGAGCACTGTTACCTTAGAAGGTTTTGACATGAAATGTGAACATAAACAGTATGATTACAAGACTGGTGTTTCAAAGGCTTCTGGCTCTAGAAAGGCTATTTTAAAAAGTAGGGCAAGTTATGCAGTACAGAGGCTATTCTCTGAGCTAACCATATGTCCCTGTGATCAGCTGCCAGGAGCTGGAAATGCACTTAGTTTTTTTTTTTTTCATTGGAAAAGTAGATTTTCTATCAGTTGCACCAAAGCAGAGTTTGTAACATTGCTTTCCTGGTGGGATGCACAGCACTTCCCAGATTTCGTGAGGTAGTCCTATCTTGGTTATTCTTGGCCAGGGCCTGGCTGTTGCAGTGGTCTTCTGCAATGAGAAAAGGACACTCCTTATAGTCTCAAACTATTGTTGGCAGAACCCAATTTCTTCCGTGACAAGGTAGCTTTTTTACAAAAAGCTTAAAATTAGAAAGCAAAAAAAAAGCTGCTTTCTTGTAGGTGTGACTTTTTTTTTTTTTTTTGCATGTGGATTGGAAGAAATCAACTTGCTTCCTTATTAATGTTTAAGTATTTGACCATGGGAAGTGGACAGGGAAGGGCAGGCACTGAGGGGGAAGGAAAAGGTAGTTAGGGGGCTTAAGCAAGCCCCTCGCTGCCTCTAGGTCAAACTTGTATGTGTGAGTCTTGAGGGAAATTGGTTCAAGTGATCTCTCACTGTTTGGTTTTTAAAGCTAGTGATTCTGCGACTTGCCATGGTGGTGCAGTTTCTTAGATAATAGTAAAGCCCTCTTTGTGTGGAGGCCAGCAAGCAAGATTTTCTTGGGTTAAATGTCAGTCCGGAGTATGTGGGTTTTTTGGTTTTTTTTTGCCCCAGAAAATCTCCAGAGAGAGACATCCCTCTCTTTGCCCTCCTGGCCTGCAGCACTGCACACTCTTAGAAAGCTGAACGGCCCGTAGAAATGTGAGTTGAATTTTGACGTTCTAAAAATAGCTGCAGACTCGCGGTTGGGGGGTGCGTAGGCGGGGGTCCACCTCCCCCATCCTGTGCAGGAGTCACGGGGGCGGGGTGGGGGAGATCTGCCCGCGGTGCCTTGCTGCGGAGTGGCCCTGCGGCGGCGTTCTGGCGACACCTGCGTGTGGAAGGGGGGTGGACACGGGCCAGGCGCGCGGTGTGCGGGGAGACTCGGGCCTTACAAGCGCGGCTTTGATTCTATTTTCTGCTGAACCAGCTCAGCCACTTCCTGAGCGGGGCCGCGCGTGGTGCCTCGCTTCGCTGGGGCCGCTTGAGCCCGGGCGGGCCGAGCCGAGCGCGCGGCCTCTGCATCCCAGCAGCAGCAGCAGTTGAGAGAGAGAGACAGACAGACAGACAATTTTGGGGGTCCTGCACAATGGCCTTCTCGTTTCCCCGGCGAAAAACGAGGCCGGTGGGGCTGGCACGGGCCACTTGTTAGCCGGTGACAACTTGGACGCGGGCCGCCCTCCCCTCCGCCCCCTCCGAAATCCCCTAGCTCAGCGAATATTTGGGCCTGCCCGAGTTAATCATGAAGCCGCGATCCTTATCTGAGGGAGCCCTGCGAGCGGCCGGGCCGCCTCCCCGCCGGCTGCGGGACCCCCCTCCCGTGGGGCGCCGGGTGCGGGGCCGGCCCTGAGCAGCGCGGGCGGGCGACTGGGCGGGCGGCGGCGGCGGCGGCTCGGCAGGGCTCCTGCAGCCGGGCCTGGGCACTGGCCGCGCTGGGCCGCCGAGCAGCACCAGCCGGAGAGGCGCGGCGGGGGCAGGGCTCCTCCGTGCGCGGCAAAAACTGCTTTTTTTTTTTTTTTTTGGATTTTTTTCTTCCCTTTTCACGGTCGGATACCAGCCATTCAAAGGGGAGCCGCTGAAATGCATAACCTGCAAAGTAAGTTGCTTTTCGTTTGTGCATGTCTCAGCCCCCTTCCCTGTGTCTCTGGGTCTTTTTGTGTTTCTGTGCAGGGGATTTATTTCAGCAGGGTTGTGTGAGTGTGAGTGTGTGTGTGTGTGTGTGTGTGTGTCAGAGACTGAGCATGGCTTGGGGAAGGCGGATGGGGGAGACACTCCCCCCTGCCTTGAAGGGGCTCAGGGTTGAGGAAGAGCTGGGGGTTTCGGCTGGAAAGTAGGGAAGGAGCTAATTACAAAGTGCTTGGCTAGTAGTTGGTGCCCAGCCAGGCCCCTGGAGATGGTGGAAAATCACCTGTGTGCCGGCCCTTCTCCCTGCACGGTTTGCCACATGGGCTCGGCAGGCAGGTCCTGAGTTTGCACCAAGTGCTACCCTCAGTGTCTGGGCAGGGAGCTGGTCCCAGCTTCTTGGAGAATGGGGGTGGGGAGACGGGGCTCTCCTCTGGCAGGGGGTCTTCTCAGTATTTTCTTTAGCTAAGAGATTTTTTCTCTCTCTCTCTTGTGAATCTTACCCAACCCCAGCACCACTTTTTACCATTTGTTCCATTTGAACTTGAGTTTAGGCTGACTGCGGGATCTGGGAACAGTGCTCAGAACCCATCTCGGCTTTGCACCACTATTTCAGACTGTGGGTGATTACAAATTTGATAGAAAGTTTGGTGAATTTTAAGGGCTTCTGTCTCTTTAAATAGTCTCAGAAATTGGTAATACACACACGTGCATGTACCACAGAGGTTTCCCCCCCTTGCAGCCCCAGTCGGCCACCTTGACACACAGGGGAGGCCTTGCCCCTCCCTCACCTTCCTGTTAGAAATGGGAAGAAGTCCTGGGTCCCACTGCAAATGTAAGTTAGGGTCCACGGAGGACGGCAGAGTTATATGCCAATAAATTTAGCTGTGAAGAACTAACAAATCAGTAGTTAGATTTATAGAGAAATTGATTTCATTACATTAATCACTGCTAAGAAGGAATAATAATACTTGCCCCCAGAGTCAGGCATTTGCGATGGTGTGGGGGTGGGGGAAGGAAGCCCCCCAAAGTGATTACATCACCCTCAAGCTGTATTAAGCACAGTAAATCCGAATGGGCTCTTCGGTAAAATACTTGGCCATGGTAACTCCCTGTTCTGCATTCTGAGGTTATGCATACACATATATATGTTCTCTTTATTTTCGAAGATGAAACTTGCTGTGACCAGTTTTGTTAAGACAATGGCAGTGACATTTCCTTAAAATGTTGGCAGTTTTGTTGACTGTGTCTGCCTGCAGATCTCTTCATTCCTGTTAATTTTCAAAGCCTGGCTTTCATGTTGCATGGTTAGCAGAGGAGATTTGTGTCTATTTTTAAAAATTTTGCTCTGCAGTATGGAACATTAGTGACAGTATTTAAGTTCTAAGTTTTCTGTGAATTATGTGGGATTGAAATTACATATCTAGACCCCCAGAGTTCCCGGTCATTTCTGCTTTTAAAATCTATGGAAGTATTAAAGGACTGTAAATATACCATCTGCATGCCTTTGTATGATTCTTAAGCTGAGGAATGACCAGCTATCTATGAACCCAGATGCACTGGGGGAGGGGGAAAAAAAAAAGCTCCGTGCTGCAGCATATCAGCTCTTGTCAACCTGCCAGCGGCAGAGCAAACTGTGCTGCAAAGAGTAATAAAAAGGGAATTAGAAAACTCACTGCTGGAGGAGAACAGTCCAATTAAATCCCCTTTTGAAACGGTGAGCATGTAGCCATTGCAGTTCTGTTACATGTAAGTTCTCCGGGAGGCTGGGCTTGTGTTAAGGCTGGTGGAGATGAGAAATGATGAAGCAGGAGTGGTCTGGTGACATTTTTCTGACTTGATTGGCTGGGGTGTGTGATGTAATAGGTTACAGAGCAGCCCCTTATAGGTTTTAAAATGAATTCCAAGACACCATTACAAAGAAAGACGGACTCTTTTCTTATAACTGAGCTCAGCAAGGAAACTCTCGCACAAATGTACAACACTGTGTGGAATATGGAAGACCTGGATTTAGAATATGCTAAGACAGATATAAATTGTGGCACAGACTTGATGTTTTATATAGAAATGGATCCACCAGGTAATGCTGCGGTGTTCTTGTAGAAAGCTAATTTTGTGGCTTTTTAATTTTTTGACAACTGCGGTAACAGCCTTTTCAGATTTCTTGTTCATTAATTTGTTCTAATTGAATAAAATTTGTTTGAGCATAGCTTGGAAATTAAATGGTGCAGCTGCTTGTGGAAGCCAGATGAGGCTGAGTGTGGAAACTGCTTGCTTTTACTTGAATGGATAGGAACTGGATTCCAGTTCTTCACCGGTGTCTTTTGTTAATGGAGGTCTCTTGCTACTTGGGTTATATTGTTGCATATTGTTCCTTTAAGTTCTTTTAAGTTAAAGAAGGCAGATGCCTTTCTGTGGGGCTTTTCTCTCTTGACAGTGCTTGAGAACAGTGTGGCTAGTACTTTGCAGAGATAACACTTGGTACTTTAGAAAGCATGGGAAATGTAACAGTGATTGCAACTCAGTTCTAGGTGACCTGAAACTATTCTAAATCAGATGTTGAGATTATGCCTGTCTTTCTTGTATAGAGATACTAGAATGAAAAAAGATTTTTACTTCCCATGATATTTTATATCTTTATAAACTATTCCTGAACCTCCTGAATTTTTGTATAAATTAAAATAGGGAAACAGTGTTTCAGAATTCAGAACTTAAAGTGTAGCTAAAAATGGGAGACTTATTTTGCTTTCTGAATGATTTTATTCCAAGGGTTAGCCCTCCTTCCAGTTAGGAAACTGAGGAACACTGCAGTCTCCCCACCCCCCCCCTCCACTACCACCAATTGGTATATGAAAACTGTTCTGACATTTGAGGAAGAGGGTTATGGTTTTTCAAATGAGTCTTGGCATATTTTATCCAATAGGCTAGGAACGTGAATGCTGAAGATATTTAGGTCACAGATGAGTTTCTTAAAGTGGCTTCAGAGAAGAAGCCCGGCTTCTGCTCTGACAGCATATTGCTGTCAATGAGCTGTTTGATTACCACAGCAGCGTTTGTGGAGGACAGAACCGAAGTTTGTCTTTTCTAATTAAATAAGAAATCTGTGCCAGCCCCGTGATTCGTCCTGCGCTCATATGGTCAAGGTTTCTTTCTGAAGATGGATTTGAACTAGGCATGAATCTTTAATAGAACTAAAATCAGAAATATCTTGACTCTGAATTTACCTTGGAATTCATGGGCATGGCCAGCCCAGTTCGTTAGTCTCAGAGCTGGTTTTTCTCTTTCAGTTTTCTTTTCCTTCTAAGCCGTGCTCTAAAAGATAGCTCTCCTTTTCTATCTTCCCTGTGTCAGGGACTGATGAGTTTTAGGTCTAACACGTTCAATTCTGAATGGGGTTTGCAAACAACTTTTCCTTTTCTCCTTAATCCACAGCACTGCCTCCCAAACCGCCCAAACCCACTCCTGTAGCCAACAACGGTATGAATAACAATATGTCCTTACAAGATGCTGAATGGTACTGGGGAGACATCTCCAGGTAAGGCTAAACCAAAACTTCTAGAGATCATTTCAGCAAAGCACCAGCTTGCTAACTTCCACTTTTAGGATAGCATCCAACATCAGCATACAGCATAGTTGGTTCTCTGCCAGATGACCAGAGAAGTCACTGGGCACAGGAGAACTGTGGGTGCCGGTTGCCACAGGAAATTACCCGAGAAGCTTCGTTATTGACAGAGATGTCAGGCAAGCACCAGGAAGAGCTGGCACTGCCGAGAGGCAGAGAGGAAAGTCACTCTCCATTAGACCCAAGATTTCAGTGTTGTTATCTGAATAAGATAGACCTTTTTTTAATTTTCTTTTCAATGGGAGTGAGAAGTTGGGGGGCAGCTCTTTGCGATCCTGACTTTCTGTGCAGGTGTGTCCGCGTGAGTTAAGGGGAGGGGAAGATGCAGCCCACAACTACCTCAGCTCGCCCTGTGGTGAAGGTGATAGGTCTGTCTGTGCTTAGCCCCCTCTTCTGTTTGTGACGAGATGATTGCTTATCAGTTTCCTAGGTAAGGAGAGAATCAATTTAGCCTCCTAGATGCACTAAATTATAAAACTGCAGGGCTGAAGGGGTAGGGTAACCCTGCTCAGTTTTTCTACAAGCCTACAACTGCTCTAAAAAATAAAGTTGATTTGAATGTGAGTGCACAGCGTTCTCCAGGTGACCTTTATTATATCTTGCTCTTTTAACTCTAGGGAAGAAGTGAATGAGAAACTTCGAGACACAGCTGACGGGACCTTTTTGGTACGAGACGCATCTACTAAAATGCATGGTGATTATACTCTCACACTAAGGTGAGTGAGGATGCAGCTGAAATTGTGGGATTGCAGTCGACATTAGATGCATTCATTTAAAGAAAAAGATACCAGCATTACAATTCTTTCATTGTCTTTACAGAAAAGGAGGAAATAATAAATTAATCAAAATATTTCACCGAGATGGGAAATATGGCTTCTCTGACCCGTTAACCTTCAACTCTGTGGTTGAGCTAATAAACCACTACCGGAATGAATCTCTAGCGCAGTATAATCCCAAGCTGGATGTGAAATTGCTCTACCCAGTATCCAAGTACCAACAGGTAATGAAAACTGAAATGCTCTTCATGTTCAGCCATGATACTTGCAATGCTTGGAAAACATTTTTTGAAAAAGAAATGCATGTTAGGAAGTTTGAAAATCTTGTGATCATGCAGCAATGGTCACTAAATAAATACCTTAAGGATTTTTTTTTCCCCCATGCCAAATAAGTTATTTGATTCGGGACTTTACCACTGAGTTTATTCTTTCTCACTGTTCTCTAATCCTTCCAGGATCAAGTTGTCAAAGAGGATAATATTGAAGCCGTAGGGAAGAAGTTACATGAATATAACACTCAATTTCAAGAAAAAAGTCGGGAATATGATAGATTATATGAGGATTATACCCGCACTTCCCAGGTGAGCTCTGTGAAGATCAGATTAATATTTCAGATCTCTTAGTTATCAGAATCTACTGTCTGTTACATTCAGCTTCACCAAGAGTTGAGAAAGAAGGTGGGGGTCATTGTTGCTGTAGTAATTATTTGTGGTACCCTTTGAAATGCATCATTGGGGCTGGAGCAATAGCACAGCGGGTAGGGCATTTGCCTTGCACAAGGCCTTTGATTCCCAGCATCCCATATGGTCCCCCAAGCACCACCAGGGGTAATTCCTGAGTGCATAAGCCAGGAGTAACCCTTGTGCATCACCGGGTATGACTGAAAGAAAAAAAAATGCATCATTAAGTATCCCAATCATAAATGAAGTCCACACGATAAGCAGTTATGGTACACTTGACTTTCTTCCTGATGAAATTTCCACATGCATCTAATCTCTGAAAAGGAGAGGTAAACACTGTTCTGGTGTTTTCCTAAAGACTTAACTGCTAGAAGTAACATAAATGCCCTAAGGGTAGTGACCAAAAATAATGAAAGCTATAGGAATTATCATAGAATCACCTTGCATATATTTAGACAATTTTCCAAAGGCAATATGCGCTTCTCTGATGCTCTTATTAGCGAGAGAGTACACTAATTCATAAAAAGCCATCGCCAGAGTATTTACATGCTAGATAGCAGTGTATATCAAATGTCCTGATAATATCTTGCAGTAAGAAATGGCCTGTGTGTCTGATATTTTTTTATTACAATTGTATTACAGGAAATCCAAATGAAAAGAACAGCTATTGAAGCATTTAATGAAACTATAAAAATATTTGAAGAACAGTGCCAAACCCAGGAGCGGTACAGCAAAGAATCCATAGAAAAATTTAAACGTGAAGGCAATGAGAAAGAAATACAAAGGTGGGTAAACTATGAATACTGCCATTGTCCGTGAGAGAAAACCAAAATCCTCTCAAACTGTTTATAAAGATGCACTCTCTTTCTGTGCTTAGAATAATTAAAAGAGGAGGAAGAGGAGAAAGCCTTAGAGGAAAATGCTGGGAATCCATAGCAAACATGTTTCAGATAAATGGGGGAAGCCTTTGTGATGCACCTACTTATATATGCATTTCTCTTTTCCGTAGGATTATGCATAATTATGAAAAGTTGAAGTCTCGAATCAGTGAGATTGTTGACAGTAGAAGAAGGTTGGAGGAAGATTTGAAGAAGCAGGCAGCCGAGTACCGGGAGATTGACAAACGCATGAACAGCATCAAGCCAGACCTCATTCAGCTGCGAAAGACCCGAGACCAATACCTGATGTAAGTGCTGGAGGTGGTGGCCTGGAGAGAGATGGGGGTCATTGAAATCAGATGAAGTAGTCACGCTCTTGCTTTAAAACTCTTCCAGGTGGTTGACTCAGAAAGGTGTCCGGCAGAAGAAGCTGAATGAGTGGCTGGGCAATGAAAACACTGAAGAGTAAGTCGTCACTAAAAGATTTTCTTCTTAAAAAATCATTTCAGGAAAACGCATGACTTGTTTTCAGAACAAGGAAGGAATTTGGAATGTCTCATATAAACTCAGCCTTTTGCTGTCCAGAATTTTAAAAAGGGAAAATTGAGTGAAGAAGGATAACCCATTAATTTATTCCTCTCCACCCCCAATAGTGCTCTACAGTGACACCATATCCCTGAATATTTTTTAAAAAGTTATAAAAAATTCTTATTCTCTGTAGCATATGTTTTGTTTGAATTATTTGAAAACTGGCAGTCCTCCTAGTTAATTTCCTGATCTAAACTGGACAAACAGGATTTTGAGTAACCTTCTTCTGCCCGGGTATCTGGGCCTGTTAGGACCGCTGAGTCTATCAGGGGGACTAGGAAGTTTTAAGAAGCACTCTAAGAAGAAGTGGGTGGCACCCACCTGTCTTCTGTGGCAAACTGGACGGGCTAAGGGGCCACCACACAAGACGCCAGCAACCCTCTCTCCTCTCTCTGTAGCCAATATTCGCTGGTGGAGGATGATGAGGACCTGCCCCACCATGACGAGAAGACATGGAATGTTGGAAGCAGCAACCGAAACAAAGCTGAAAACCTTTTACGAGGGAAGCGAGACGGCACTTTCCTGGTCCGGGAAAGCAGCAAGCAGGGCTGTTATGCCTGCTCTGTGGTGTATGTATCACCAGCAAACTCTTTCCTTTCTGGGGGGGTGGCGGGCGGGCAACCCCCCCTCCCACAATGCTCAGGGGTTACTTCTGGTGGTGCTTGGAGGAACATATGTGATGCCAGGGATCTAATCGGGTCAGCTGCATACAAGGCAACCAGCCGCCCAACCCGCATTGCTAGGGCTCCTCTTTTTCTTCTTTAACATTCCCTCAGGCGCTGTCCATTTCCCCCACCTCCTAGTAGGAATGTAAAAGATGAAGTAGACCCTCTTAACAGATACTCATGCAGACACTTAACAGTTATTTTATGCCCAGCAGAAGAAACCTGGCTCCTTAGATGGAAACACGTACTTAATCCTGAGAAGTCTTTAAGAGCAGAGTGGTGGGAATTGTTACAATGAAAATAGCCAGGCACACTTCCTCTTCCGCCTCACACACGGGTGCTACTCACAGGGCAGTGAGCATGCTGGGACTAGACCCTGGCGTTGAGGCTAACTCGCAAGTAGCCCTCTTTTGCTCAGATCGTTTCAGGGAAGGGTGATGCTGTCCAGGAGGGGCAGGTTCTAAAGGCACATTACAGACTGTTCTCCCAACGCTCTACGGCAGAGTGAGCACAGGGATGGGAAGTTATGTAGCTGCCAATGTTGGGACAGACTGAAGGAAGAATCCTGTGGTGACACTACCATGGTGGTAGTGCCATGTTCCCCCATGCTAGCATCCCATCTACCGTGACACGGGCACTACTCCCCCCTGACAGGGAAACCCTTCTAAAGACAGAAATACCCAACTACGTGAAGCTGGTTCTCTGCCAAGTCCGAGTGACAGGGCCATGAGGGATGCCTGGGTGCCCTTGAGGAGGATCCTTCTTATAGGGGTGGAGAGGGAGCGATTTTTTTCCCTTGGGGTCTCTGCGTGTGGTGTCTGCCCTGGTTCAAATGGCATCTCTGCCCGCTCTGTCCCGTCTAGGGTGGACGGCGAAGTCAAGCACTGTGTCATCAACAAGACGGCGACAGGCTACGGCTTTGCGGAGCCCTATAACCTGTACGGCTCCCTGAAAGAACTGGTGCTCCATTACCAACACACCTCCCTCGTGCAGCACAACGACTCCCTAAACGTCACACTAGCCTACCCAGTATATGCACAGCAGAGGCGATGAAGTGCTGGCCCTCAGATCCTTCTCCTGAAGTTGAACCACCCTGAAACCTCTGGAAGCACAGGGCTCCTTCTCCAGCCTGACCTGTGAATTGAGCTGAGGAAACCCACGCCGTCTGCCTTCAGATGAGACTCGCGCTTTCTCCGGTCTAAAGCCGTCAGGGAAGATCTGCGGCCAAGTGAGCGCTGGGCCAGGGCCTGCAGACCACCGTTTCTAACCTGGAGTGCTTATCCTCCTTCCTTTCTCTTTTTTTTTTTTTTTTTTTTGAGGGAGGGGGGTTAATTTAAAGCCACAACCACACCAAGAGAAAAAGAAATGCAAAAATCTCTGCGTGCAGGGACAAAGAGGCCTTTAACCATGGTGCTTGTTAAATGCTTTCTGAAGCTTTTACCAGCTCAGAGTTGGGAGCCTGGAGGGTGAGACAGGCTCTGGCCTGAGGTCACTCGGTCCAGCCTGGTTTAGCCTGGGGGTTGCACGGTGGACTCAGACACATCGCACTGTGGATTATTTCCTTTTTCTAACACAAGAACGACATGTAGCAAAAAGGCACTTCTGCTCTTGAGGGACCCTGGGGGAAACGTCAGCGCTTGGCCGTTCAGAGGGAAGCTGTGGTAGCAAGTGTTTTGTTCAAACTTTTCAAAAAACCGCCACCCACCAACAGAAAAGTGGAACTTGGAAAACAGGACTTAAAATGACATTCAGTATATAAAATATGTACATAATATTGGATGACTATCAAATAGATGGATTTGTATCAATACCAAATAGCTTCTGTTTTGTTTTTCGCTGAAGGCTAAATTCACAGTGCTATGCAATTCCTAATTTTCGTTCCATTGTTTTAAATGTACCTTCAGAATAAGCTTTCCCCACCCCAATTTTTGTTGCTTGAAAATATTGTTGTCCCTGAATTTTTGTTAATATTTGTTTTGTTTTTTTTTTTTTAAGAAAAAATGTACAGGATGCCAGTTTAAAAAAATGGCTTCATAATTAAAACTATGAAATATTTTACAGTTTTTTCTTGTACAGAGTACTTGGCTGTTAGTCCAAGGTTAAAAAGTTCATAACAGATTTTTTTTTTTGGACTTAAATGTTTTGTTGGGCAGTGCCTAATAAGCTTCAAAGCTGCTTTATTCAATAAAAGAGAGAAAGATATATGGATATGACAAAGGATCACTGAGTTCAACAATGTTGTTTCAAGACTCTTAAAATACGGTACCTGGCAATGTTTGTTTCGTAAAGAATTGTGAACTTCTTGAATCTAGGGAGGGGGAATGTATCGATGGGAGGGGGTGTGTACAGGGGGGAGGGGTGGGAGGTGGTATGCACTTTCTCTTTCTCGTGATTACAGAGAAGTAACTGCAAAGTGAAGTTGCTTATATTTTAGACCTTTTCCACTTTGATCTGCTAGTTATTATTAAGGATAATTACAAACTTACTGTAACTAACACAGTGTAGCTGGTCAGTTATTTCAGCAGGAGGAAGTTCCATTCCAGGAGCCTTGTTCACTTATGTTTAGAACAGAATGAAGATATACTTTCTGCATTTATAAAAAATGTGTCTCCTTTTTTGAGCATTAGACTACCACTGCAACCCAGTAGTCATTCATTAAAAAAAAAATAGGATGGTGACTAAAACATTTGGGTATTCATTCTTTTCCTAGCTTTCCATTTAATCTTGTGCTTATGAGATTCACTTGAAAGTAAATAGACTTTATCTCATTAAAGTCATGATTTTTGCAGGACCAATGGTTAGAGTGCGCATTCATCCAAGTAACTGTATGTGGAAAAAGATAGGGGTTGTTAGAGCTTTCCAATTTCGGACAGGAGAGGTCCCTCTCCCTGGTTTACATATGCAACGTCTTGAGTTCATTGGAAACTGTGCATGGGAAGAATTTAAAAAGTAATTACAATCAGACACTGCCCTGGTAGAGTAAAATGGAATCTCACAATTTCAGTTTTTCTTTCTCCATATTAGACTCCTCCTTGACTTTCTCTTCCCTTCAAATACTGGGGTGGGATTTTTTGTTGTTGTTTTTAAATGTTGTTCCTTAAAACATTTTTTAAATATAGTCTAGCAGCTGACTTAATCAACAGTAGAATGTATTTTTTTCCCCCTCTTTATATGAAGCTACTCATTCTCAAGAGCAATAGTCAGTCTTACAGCAGACTGTCAGGTCCTCAAACTTGACTGTACTGATCTGACCATCTCCCTCTCATCTCCAGACAGCATGATTTCCTTGATTTTAGTCTGGGTCTGATTTAATACTAGCCCTTCCTCCTCCCATGTCACACAAAACTCTTAACAGTTCAGTTTGTAAACTAGGGTTTATTTGGTTCCCCCCTCCCTTTCTTTGGTGGCACATCCATGTATGTTATTAAATATGAATAACTTTCATTTAATTTCAAAACCTAAGACCTGAGATGGACTGTTTCATTAAAAGCTACAGTTTTGTTACTCTTTCTGCTTTTGATACTTTTTGCAAGATGACATGGTATTTGGGGCACTTGCCTTATTTTTGCATCTCACAAGCATACCTGCAATCGTTTTCCTCAGAATCGCAAAGGTAGAATGCATCATACTCTTTTCACAGTGATTCACACCGTATCTATGATATTACACCTCTGCTTTTTGCCTTTTTGACTCTAGCATGCCTGCCACCTTTGTCGTGGACGCTTGACCAGCAGCGCTCTTTGAGTTCACTCAGATAGTCTTCTACCAGCATTGTCTGAGCAGCTCAGGAGTAAGAATAGGCAGCAGAGGCATTCCTGATACATGCTTCTATCCAGGCACTGATTTTTTTTCCCCCACTCAGTGTCATGTCCTAAAGATAAAAGCCAGAAGCTATGCTGTAGAGTCCCTGTCATAGGGTTTAGCTATGGAAGCTTAGAGTAGCCGATAAGATACATGAGAGAAGTCACAATCACGTGAAAAGGTAAAAAGCATGCATTTACATCAGACAACTTCGTGGCCCTTGATATATGTATATATGTATATGTGCATGGACTGTTTCCAATACTCTTCAGCCAAAATGATCCACAGTCATTGAGTTAAAATACATAAAAAGCAAATGTCTAGTACAGTTCTTGTGTACGTGTTTGGAATGTTTTTTCCTTGGATGTTGTTTTGTTTTGTTTTATAAAGGTGAAAATTGTTCACAAGTGAAGTGAGAAGTTCATAATTCTTTGGCGTTTTTGTTTTCTAAAAGTTGCTCCATTTGCGGAGCTGGTCTGGGTGATGTGCTTAACTTGGAAATCCTTGTGTGTCAGTGTGTCAAGTCAAAATGTGTTTCTGTGAGCTGTCCCGTGCAGAACAAATTGCTTTGTCATTTAACTGGTTATGAGCTAGTAACATGTTTGGGATGTTCTACTGGGGTTCCTTACTAGGAGAAAAATTCTGCTGGTTTAAACAACTGTGCTTTTGCTATGCATGATATCTAAGTTTGTTGGAAACAAACCCTGCAGTGTGCGTCTAGGGTCATTTACGAAAGGGGCAGTTTCTTTAAAGCACAATGCCTCACTTGGGACACAGTTCCAAGATGCCAAATTTCTTCTTTTTTGAAAAATCCAGTTACATAATTACTAGTATTAGTACAGAGGGAACAGAATTGGCTTCATTGGAAACACTATCCAATTGAACATTAAACTTGTGGCCATGAGATAGCATTAGCTGCCCAGGATGCTGCTACTCAAACATACACACACACACACACACACACACACACACACACACACACAAAAGCAAAACAAAAAAGTCTCATTCAATATGTGTGTATTTTTTAAAGCTATGATCTGTTCAATGTTTTTACAAATCTGTTTCTATGACCTTGTTAAAATAAACTTGGTCTTTTGACGAGAGGGAGGACGTCATGGTCAGTTGTAATTTTGCCTTTACAAGGCATCTGGGGGTGGGGGGAATGCGCCTCCTTGACATTTTGTTCAAAACTATAGAGTCGATGGAGCTGTCTTGTTTTCAGTTGCTTTAATGCGTTGTATTAGGTCTTCAAACAGAATAAAGATTGTTTTGAAACAAATTTATAGTTTGAAATTTCAGTGAAAGTTGGGGTCATGTAAAGTGGTCACAGGAATGATATCGCCACTTTTTTGGGTTTTGTTTGTTTGTTTGGGGGGCTCTTCTGGCAGTGCTCAGGGAACCATATGGGATGTCAAGGATTGAACCCTTCAGCTTCATGTAAACAAATGCCTTACCCACTATATTATCCAGCCCCACTCCACATTTTTCTAATTGTCACTAAACCCTGGATGATAAATAGATTGCCTGCAAGTGACTCATAAGCCTGTCCCTGTAATAAAAAAAATAAGAATATTGACAGCTCCTCAGTCCTTCACTTTATCCACTATCACCAAACCTTTCAGAATGTTCTTTACAAGCCATGGCTGGTGACAGTATTGATTTGTCTCTCCCATGGTCAGTGTGTTGACCACTCCAAGTGAAGGGATAATGTGAGAGGTGGCAGGGAAGGGTGTGGGAACTGAGCTGTGCTCCATTCAGGTTTCATGTGGTAGCTCCTGGTCAATACAGACAAACCATTTTTAATCAGAAATGACTTTCCCATCTGGTTTTATTGCTGAAGGAACTTACAGCCATGGAAGTTGCATTGTACATGGCCCTTCCTTTGCCGGAATGCACCATGAAAGTCCTGAGAAAGGATCAGATCGCCTGGCTGCTTGGTAGTGAGTCTCTCCTACTCTACATCTTCTGCCAGACAGGCCCTCTTTGAGGGTCTGAGCTGCCCTTCCCCGCCCCCCGCCCCCCCATCCCCCTGCTCGCTCTGTCAGTGGAAGGTTTTGGCAACATTGCCTTCTCCATCATCCCAGCCCAAGGGATGTCCTTAGAAGCTTTCAGCTGTTGCTAAACTTCCAGTATCTTTCCACATCTGCTTGGAGTCCCAGCTACAATATAAGCTAGAGTGATTCCCCCCCACCACCACCAATCTCTGATTGATACATCTGATTGATACATGAAGAGCTTTGTTCTGCTAAATTTCATCACCCTGATTGAGTCCTTCTACAGTTAACATTATGCAGAAGACAATATCCTACAGGAAACAAGCATAGATCTTGATTTTCCCAAGATTGCATTGGCAATTAGGTACTGTAGAGAGCCACCAGTCGGTGCATGTAAAACAAATAAAAACCACTGTTCTATCACTGTGATTATGCCTGATGGTCTGGGGATGTTGAAAGGTATAAGAACTCTTGTACAGAGTACCTTGGGTAGATTAAAGTTAGAGCTCTCCAGCTGTGCACTTTTAACACCCACTGGAAACTAGAGTTCAAATAAAAGTTCACAAGTCACTTTCTGCCTGGAACCTAACCATGTGGCCCTTGGTGGGCAGTACACAAGTAGCTAATATGGTAGGAAATGACGTTTACTTTAGGCCTGCCAATCTGGCTTTGTGGGCCCCAAACCAACAACATGAGCATTTGCACCACTTGGAAACCTGTTCGAATTGCCCAGTCATCCATTTCAACAAGCTCTCTGGGTGATCTTAATGCATAATAAAGCTGAGACTATGATCACCCAACTACTGAAATAATACATTTAGTATTTGAGGTGTCATTGGTTAGTTTAAAAGTACCATTCATGAGTGAAATAAATATATTTCAATTTAGGATATAATGTATGCTCATGGTATAGATGATAGAGGAAAGACCGATTTATAACATAGCTGGCTCCTCCTGACTTAGCTCTCTTTCATATGCAGTGGAATCTCAGTTTATCTACTACTATCACAGTCTATCTGTGAAATAAGGTTGTGATTTTATACAGCTTTTGCAACTCGACGTATGTTGTGATTCAGTGTGAAGGACTACTCAATCTCCCATTTCTCCATTTACAACTTGATCCCAATTATAATCACCAGTCTGCCGAAGGACCACCGATCAGTGCAAGTTGATTGAGAACTGGTCTTTTGTGTTTTAAGTGACAATGTCCAAATAAAAGCATGCAATCCACTTTCACCTGAAGCAACACTGCAGGTGAATCAAAAGGAGCAGCAGTTCTTGACAGTGTGGGGGTCTGCGTGTTTGGAAATGATATAAGATCTGTCTATCTAAAGCAGTGGTTTTCCACTGCTTTCCAGGACCGGAGCTGACCTGCAGGCATAAGAAGGCTGAAAACCACTAATTGAAAGTGGA